TCTTTATATTTTCATTTAGCAGTTTCAAAGTTTCAATTCTTATACCAAGGTCTTTGCTCCATTTTTAATTGACTTTTTTTTTTTTTTTTAAAACCAGGGATAAACTCAGAAACTTATGCTTCCAGGCAGGCACTTATGCTGCTGAGCTATCTCCCCAGCCCTGAACTGATTTTTGTAAAGGGTGAGGGGGATTTAGTTTCAATCTTCTACATATAAATATCCAATTTTTCCCTGGCACCATTGGTTAAGTGGACTGCCTGGTTCAAGGTATACTTTTGGCTCCTTTATGAAGAATCAAATTGTGTATTGGACAGATGTGTTTCCCTGTCTTGTCTTATCCCACTGGTCATGTGTTTATTTTTATGTCAGTATCATGCTGATTTTGTTACTATGGCTTTGCAGAATACTTTGAAATCAGGTATTATGATGCCTCTAGCCTTCCTCTTTTCACTTAGGATCACTTTGTTACTTTAAGTCTTTTGTATCTCCATAGACATTTTAGTATTTTTTTTCTAATTCTTGAAGAATCTCATTGAAATTTTTTTTTTAATGTATTTGGTACAGGGTCTTACTACACAGCTCGGACTCATAGAGATCCTGCAGTTTTCCACCTCCCTAGTGCTGAGATTGCAGGCATGTGCTACCACACCCAGTCTCAGTGGCTGGCTCAGCATGTCTAGGGGCAGGGTCAGTGCAGCATGTGGTTCTGGGGATTGAACCTCACTCCCTGCACTTGCCTAAGCAGGCACTTAGTCCACTGAGCTGTCTTGCCAGCCCTTATTATTGGAATTTTAATGGGGATTGCATTGAATCTGAAGAATATTTTTGGTAACGTGGCCTCTTTAACAATACCACTTTGGCTAATCCACGAGTATGGGGTATCTTTCTATCTTCTATTTTCTTCATTTTCTTTCTTCAGTGTTCTATAATTTCATTATAGAGATCTTTTGCTTCCTTAGGTTTATCACTAGGTATTTTATTATTTTGAAGCTATTATGAATAGAATTGTTCTCCTAATTTATTTTGTAAGTGCATCTTTTTAACAGTGTTAAAACAATGAGAAGTCCATATGGAGAAAAATGAACTTCAACCCAGAACTTATATGCAGAAATCAATGCAAAATATACCTGTATGTAAAAAATATCTAAAAGTTAAGCAGAACTTTTAAAATTGGAGAAAATCTTCATGATGTTAAGGTAGCAAAATTACTTAGGCAAAATTACTTAGGTTTCATTTTGATGAAACCTCAAGTCATCAAAATGTAGAAGGGCTGGCCAAATAGCTCAGAGGATTACAGTGCCTGCAAGCAGGCACAGGGGCCAGGGATTCGACCCCAGGCTTACCATGCTGGCCCTGTGGGTGGAGCTGGCAATTGAGACTGGGTGTGCTGGTGTGTGCCTGTAATCCCAGCTCTTCGGAGGGATTACAGGGTCACTAAGAGTCTGATCTAGTAGTGAGACCCTGAGCACCCTGTAGATCCTTCCCCAAAATACAAAAGAAGAAGAAGAAGAAGAAGAAGAAGAAGAAGAAGAAGAAGAAGAAGAAGAAGAAGAAGAAGAAGA